ATATTGCCAAACAAGTTTTTTGTTTTTCTATTTTTAAAAACAAAAAAATTGTTTCAAAACAAGAAACCAAACAAGCCCTTTAATTTCTTAATTCACTTTGTCTCACAGTACAGATAACTAATTTATTAGAAAAAACAATATTTATTTAATAAATAGCCAATTTAACTAATTTTTTTAATATTTGTAAATTAGTCATATAATTTTATATCAAGGACTGAAGATAATATTATTTGTACCTCTTTTGTCATGTGGAAATGACCAAGGCGACACAAAGAAGATGAGCAGAAGGGCGGGAACGCCTCACATATGATTAAATTGTGTAAATGATTTTGAGAACATGTTTTATGTCCAAGTGTTTTTATTTGTCTGTTGGGAATAGATGGGCTTGAATCCATATAGCGACTCAATGAAAAAGACTAGCTGCAGGCAATATATACCTGGCACTTGAAAAAACTTATGTATATATATATATATATATATATCCAACAATAGTTTCCTTGTTCTTAAAAAAAAAAAATATAAATGCAGGACTAAAACCCCATAAATAATTAAAAAAAAGCATGAATTTCGGGGTACAATAGACCCTATCACATAAAATATAACTATAGTTCATGCTTCGTAGAATATTAACGAAAGCGAGAATACAACTTTAGAAGCCTGACCAGTCCTCTGATACATCCATAAAAATCCAACAATATTTATTCAGTTCTTTAAACTTAGTTAACCTTTTCTCCCTTATTAACAAGCCACGACGGCTTCTGAAGCATCCAAATAACAAAGAAGCCAACCCTGTCCCAATCAAAACAAGCATCCTCCTCATTTGAATACTTCTATTTCCCCTCTTTGATCTCACTTCTTCTATGCTGAAACTCTCCCTCCCTGAATTTCCCATCATACCCTCCTCCACATTCCCATATACCACATACGTCCTATTCTCTTTCCCCACAACCAATGAAGTAGGAAATCTTTTCAGATCAAGGTCTATTTCGTCATACACTTCTCCCTCCATCCATCCATCTTCACTCCTTAAATACCACAGCTTATTCACAGGCGACACCACCAAAACGACGCCGTCACTTCGCAACACGATGTCGTCTGCCACCATCAAATCCTGCTTCATCTGCACTAACTCGCTCGCCTCCCGTCGTTTGCATCAACCTTGAACATTTTGCCCGTATTGGATTGCACCACCAAGAGATACCCCTTGCTGACGTAAGCGATCCCATTCAGGCCGCAGTAGCTATGCGGTGTGTCGCTGTCCACTGGATGCGCCGTGAACTCCGGAGACCCCGAGAATATCGACGTCTCTCCTTTGCTGTTCACCTTCCATATGTAGTTCCCTCCGGAGTTCGTGACGTAGGCGTTCCCCTCGTCATCCACCGTGACGTCGTTTGCAATCGGACGAACGGATCCATCGTCGTCGGGGAGGACGGAGAGGAAGATTCGTTGCCCAGAAGTTAAGTCGTAAGCGGCGAGGGCATCGAACGGAGGGAGAGGCTCCATGGCGTGGACGGCGGCGAGGAGGCGTCTGTTGACTGGATCCACTGTAAGACCCAAGAAGGTGACGTTTTCGGGGAGGGAAGAGTCGAAGACGAAGGTTTTCGCATCACCGGCGTTGCTGACAGTGGCGATGATCCGTTGACGGAGGGATCCTACGAAGAATTGCTGGGTCAGTGGATCCCAAGCAAGGCCTTCTGGGTAGAGATTCGGGAAGCGGAAGTGGATCTTGTGAGGCTTCGGATCAAAGAGAAGAGAAGTAGGAAAGAATAATGAGATCCCGAAGAGGAGGAGGAAGAAGATGAAAGCGATGAATGACATGGTGGGCTGGAGCTAGAAGACTGTGATAAGAAGGTCGCGTTGACTCGTTTGTTGCGTTTCAGTAAGATGGTTTAAGAATTTATATGCGAAATTCTGGGTTGGCGGATATGACAGTTTCTTGTCAAAGAGGCTTCAATTATGGCTTCTTGTCAAACAGGTTCAACTACTGATTTCTTGTCCGCCACTCATCTAATTATTTCTCATAATTTTTAATTTTTTTAAAGTATCTTTATAGATACTTATTTAACCATAATTAAGTAGACGAAAAAGAAAGGTAGTAAGAAAGATAATTATGTTGTTTTAGGAAAAATATATCACATTTTTTATAATTAACTAATTTACCTAACTTCCTTAATCTAATCAAATTAGTTAAATGGATCTTATATAAGAATTCAAAGAGTTTTTTTTTTTGACATTTCTTGTCTGATAATTTTGTTAGTCCGCGGTCCACAGATGTATCTCTCTCCGTAACTATGCTCGTTTTCTACTCTTATAAGAACTTTTTAAAAATATTTTTACATAAATTGAGAGAATTTTTATCATGTATTTATTTTGTATACTGTAAAATTATTTTTAAAATTATAGTTTAAGTTTTACTTAAACACCCCTTAATTGAGGACACTGTATTTACTTTGACGTGATGAAATTTACAATTACCTGTCAAGTTCTAATTCTAAATCTAATTATAATTGCACCGTTGTAATTACACTGTTTATTCATTTAGCTCAAATTCTAATTTAAAAAGGAAAACAATTGTCTAAGTTTTTTAAAACACATGTGATCGAAGAATTTCATATAATATAGGGAATAATATAATAATATGGACTGTTAATATTTTTAATTGTAAAAATAATATTATTCTGATTTTAAACTTTTAAGGCAACTTTCACTTTTGCAAATTGTTTAAAAAATTTTTCTAAACAAATTTACATCTTAACCTTTATTTTATAGTATTAGCAGTTAACCCTTAGTTTATAGCACAAATAAAACAGGCGCATGGAAGAAAACACGGATAACACCCAACATTATGTTATGCTCATTTTACTTTCGATGTGTGGACTTCGGTATCGTATTTTCTTCTTACTGAAAAATAATAACTCACAATATAACTGTGTGAATTCAAATGAAAATTTTATTTTCGAGGCATTTAAATAATCTGAAGCATGGACAACACAAATAATTTATTAAAAATATGTGGGTAAAAATAATTTATTAAAAATATAACGTAAAGGTATAATTCAAATCCAAATAAAATTTTAAAAAATTATTGATCTTAATATACTCTTCCGATTCTTAACATAAGACATAATTAATTAATTTGAGTAAATTAAATATATTAGTTAAACTAGTTCATATGACATACTTCTTCTAAAACATCCTACGCTTCCTCTTCTACTTGATCATTGTTGAGAGAGTATCATCGGGTTAATTTAAAAAAAATGATAAAAATGTGAAATAGATATTATATATAGGACCAATATCAGCTTCTTAATTAGATCTTATATTAAGTATATGAGGAGTAATATAAAATGCACAGAAAAATCACATAATTAGCAATCATAAATTGTGGGACTCAATTGAGAGCTTGCATGATGCATATGCCATCTAGTTTTGAATTTTAAAACGGTGAAACAGAACCAATTTAAAATATTATGGATAAAAATATTTATTTTTAAAATATAAAAGAGTAACAATTTTATTTCCCAACAGTCAGGAGGTTCTCGAAGTCGAAAGATGCGTCGTAACTATGGGTGAAGCAGTCGCGTCGTATCGTCGGATAAAAGCCCCCGAAAATCCCTATTTCCCAAATTAGTTCGGAATTTCAAAATTTCCACTTTTCTTTACATTTCGGTCCCTCCCGCCAATCCTCCATTGAAGGAGGGAACAGTGTGTGTTAAAATTTCACGGTAGATATAATCATATAAATCTGAAATTTCATATTCTCTCTCCATCTTTCCCTGTAAGAAAGAAAGAGCGATACTTGTCTGAAGCCCAAATTTGTGGGAGACATCTCCTAGCTCGCTTTTCTTGTCCAGCGTGTCCTTTCTTACTGGTCTGTCAAACCCCTGGGGCTTTTTCTTTAGGCTCTTGTTGTACCGTCATGGAAGTCTTGGCTCCGCAGCAGCTGAAAGTAGCCAATGAAGTGAAGAAGCGAACTCAGTGCCCAGGAGTTCGAGTCATCGGTGGCCGAATCTATGATTCGGAAAACGGGGTCTGCTGTCACCAGGTATATTGGATGAAGATTTGTAATTTTCTATATTCTTTTCTTCGTTCTTTAATCTTCTTGCAGTTCTTTAATCACGGGAGTAAGTGGGGTTAGGTTTCTTAGTCTAATTATGGAAATAGGTATATTTAGTTGTAGCATCAAGTTCATTTCCATGATACGTTATTTGTTTTCCATGTTGAAGTGCCGTCAAAAAACCAGGGATTTTGCTGCTTGGTGTAAGAATTTGAAAGGGGAGAAGCTTTGTACCATTAAGTTTTGCCACAAATGCCTCCTGAACAGGTTAGCTTCGTTGGTAACATACAACGTGTGTTTTCAGAAATCTTTTGTTTTCATAGAGTGCGAAGGTAAAGTACTTTATATAACCTTGCAAGCTGAGCTCTAGATTTGTGTTGAATTAGATATGGAGAGAAAGCTGAAGAGGTGAATGTGTTGAACGATTGGAAATGTCCTAGGTGCAGAGGCATCTGCAATTGCAGCCTATGCATGTAAGATATTGATGATGTGGCATGTCCTGTTGCATTTTTTTGGTTTCTGTCCGACAGAATTCCATAATTTATGTCTTAGAAATTCTGAGATGAGAGTGATATTCCAGGAAAAGAAGAGGCCATCAACCTACTGGTCAATTAGTGAAAACAGCCAAAGCATCGGGTTTTTCCTCCGTGTCAGAAATGCTTGACGTGAAAGGTCCCGATAATATAACATCCGCCAATATTCCAAACGTTGTTGTTTCGCCTATAAAGGCTATTTCTTCCAAAAAGGCATGCTATTGTTCATCTCATTACTCTTATCAACTGTGTTGCAGCTGCCAAAGCCATGTGCTTAAATGGTTCATTGATCTCCTCGTCGCTCATATTTCATCCTTATTGCAGGATCTAATGATTGATCTTAATATTTCAAATTCTGATATGGAGGTTAAGAGTAATGCAGTTTCGCCTAAAATGCCATGCGGCTCAGGCAAGGTTTGATGGCTATTCTCTGTCTCAATTCTTCTTAGATCACAGACTAATAGCTCGTATACTTCACTGCATATTTGGGTTGATTTTTTATTTTTTATTTTTTTTGGGGTCCCGTAGGAGCTTGTGGTTGCTCTGTCACCGAAACATGGCAAGGAGAACTCTCTAGACAGAAATAGTGGTTTAAACTCTCAGAAGGCATTGCCTAACTCTAAGAAAAGACCTAAAAAAACAAAGCGGGAAGGGCTAAAGGAAATACGTAATGGCAGCAGAGTAAATGATGCTTGCCAAAATGGGAGCACGAAAAAGGTTAAAACTTGTAATGAAGTTCCATTTGAGGAAACAAAACAAAACGCAACTGAGGATATCATTCAAGCAGGGAAGAAACGAAATAAAATGAAAGAGAGAATGAAGGTTTCTAGGACTTCAAATGACGTTTCCTTAAATTCTGATGAGAATGATGTGAAAGAAGAAATGAACAAACAGAATTGCGAAGACGGTGTCAACCCTCAGAATAAAGAAATGGACAAAGCCATCTCTTTGCCACCGGGCTCTCTTTTAACCAGTATACTAGACCTTGAATTGCCACCCGAAGATGTTGGTCATGCATTGCAGTTCTTGGAGTTTTGCACCGCTTTTGAGAAGGTATGTCTTGTGTCTGATTCTATTAGCTTTTGGGATAGAGGGTAATTGTTGTCGGTATGATAGCACTGTAACAAAATATATCTTCTAAGTAGTTCACGAATCAAATGTATACTGTTAAGATAGTTCTTTGAAGGCTCTGCCCTTATAATACCAAATTGCGACAATTTCCTATGATTAATCAGATAGCATACAGATAGTATACAGGTCCAGTGTCAAGTTTATCTTTTGATGGATGTTCCTCAAAAATGCTGAAAGCATTCAAGGCAGCACATGATTCTCAATATGTCATTATATTAGCTTTGAAGAAATAATTTCTGTTTGGCATATTAATTATGCTGACTGTTTTGAATATTTCCTGTGGCCTACCGTCAGATTCTTGATATGAAGAAAGGAGAAGCTGAAGCCATCCTAGAAGAATTAATATGCATACAAAGTGCTCCCACTAGACACAAGACCTTAGTAGTTCAGTTCTATATCAGATTGTTGACTCTAATACTAAGTGAATCAGGAGATGGGTATGGGTGTATTTATTCAAGCTTTATTTTGGAAGGTCCTACTCTTTTATTTACTTGAATGACGTTTGACCATCTGAATCTCTTTGTTGCAGGTCTCCTTCCTTAAAATCGTTGAGCGGAAAACATTCATGGTGGGAAGCTCTCAGAAATATAATATCTGAATCTGATGTTGTGCCAAAAGCATTGCAGCTAGATAGTCTTGAAGAAGGAATTGATGGCTATTATAATTTGAATTTATCAAATAAGCTTAAGTTATTGAATTTTCTTTGCGATGAAGCTTTGGACACAGAGTAAGTAATCAGGAAATAATCTGAGACAACTATGCTATGATATGATCTCCCCCCCCCCCTTTTGTCCTTCTTATTGTCTTGGTTTTCTTTGGAGTGATTTGTAATTTACAAAATCTGTCCAGGACTATAAGGAGTTTTATTGATGAGCAACACTCAAAATTTGCTGAAAGTGCAAAAGAAGCAAAAATAAAAGTTGCTGCAGCCAAGGAAAAGGTAGTGTCATACTTGATTGGACATCTTTTGTGGTTGTATTTTATATATATATATATATATATATATATTTCAAAAGTTGTTGCCATATTTTTTGGATTTATTTTATCTGCAGGAAAGAAGTCTTAAGCAAAAAATGAAGGATGACGTGGCTAGAGCCATTATTGCGAACAATGGTGCTCCCCTTTCAATTTCAGAGCATGAAGGTCTTGTTAGAGAGATAAAAAGTGAGGCAGCTCGTGCTCATGCTAAGATGCTTGAGGCAAAAGGCCTGATTCCTAAAAGTATGTTGTGTTTCATAAGATTTTGTGTTCATACCATTTTCCAAAGTTCATGCCCACCCAAAGGCCTCATTCTTCCATCTTTGGTCAAAGTTTGGGTGGGTGTGCATGGATCTAGAATTTTAAGATCATCCAAGTTACAATATAGTAATAACTAACGCAAACAAATAAGATAAATTAAGATGCTTATAGTTTTAACTTAAACTAATGGTGTGTGACAAACACCTATTGGCATCCGATCATACTCTTATTCTTCAATTCACAACTAGTATTCTCCTTAAGTAGTTTTTTTCACCAAATAAAAAGATAATTGGTCTTGAATAAGTAGTTTCCAAATTATTTTCTGTTGATTGAGACATAAAGCAAGATGATTTAGTATGAGTGTTCTCAGATTTTCCATATTCTTATTGGATATGTGATTAAAATATAAACCCTATTTTAACCATCCACAGTGGGGCCGAATTTAGTAAGTTAACAGTGTGCTTAAAAGAGGCAAAAAGAGAAAAATGCATGTAAATAAAACTTCTTTCCGTCTTGCTAGAGAGTAGGGAATACACGTAGTTAATGAATATTTCCATCATTTTATTGTAATGACTGGTTGTTTTTACTGTTACTATAACTACACAGTGAAACAAAGATCTGATGCTGTCCGAACTGAACCTGTGCTACTGGATAGTTGTGGCCGGGCATTTTGGAGATTAAAATGTTATACTGATGAATATGCCGTTTTGTTGCAAGGTAATTTTTGATTTGTGCTAGTTTAAATTATGTGCATAAACCATTACGGTTTGGCATCTAGCAAAATTTTAAAAGATTTTGGCATGCACAGAAATTGAATTTCAGGATAAAGATGCTGCAGCAGCAGCAGATGAGAGGTGGTTTGTTTATGGCACTGAACAGAAGCACGATATTGAGGCGTACATTTCTTCAAGGTGAGCTCATTTATTTTTCAAACTAAATTGTTCTAATTGCTTAGATATATTGTTCTCGTTGTTGGAGAGGCTATGTTTGTTCGGGGACATGGTTGTAATGATTACTATATGATAACCCGAGCTTAATATATATGATTTTTGTCATTGATTGTAGGGCTAAAAGACCTAGAATTTGAGACTTTTGTTGCACCGTTCCAAGTGAAAGAAGTGAAGCAAATATGCAGGTTTTTGTATGGTTGGTAATACTCTGATCTGGATTTTGTTGCCATACTCTGATATTCTCCATAACTGCTTCTTGTTTAAAGTACATATCCATCTGGGAAAAGGTTGAAGTGGTACTGCTAGCTAGTCACTGATAACAAGATAATTGCATCATTTATGGTTAAGCTTGGATATGGTGAAACTGAATCGTAGGTAGATTTTCTATTTCCTTATTAGGTGTCCCCAAAGGGACTTCCATTTACATTTCTTGAGGTGTACACGGGAATATGGATTCTCTCCATATTTTTTTTATCAATACTTCTCTCTGTACGTAATTTATTTTGTTTATTTAATTGTCGATTTGGTTCAACACTAGCTAACTGTAGCAAACTAAATGCACTATTCATTTAATTACTACAATAAAGAAGCATTTTGATCTTGTTTTCATAAGTATTTAAGTGATAACAATAAATGAGGCTGATACTGACGTTAAGTTTTTTATACTTCTTCCCTAGTGGAGCGAGAAGCCAGGAAGATAGTGAAGATATTGTTTCTCATCTTTTGCTATATTCAATGTAAGCTTTCAGTTAATGATAGAAACATGAACCACAGGTGTGTAGGTATATGTTTTGCAATGTAATTACAAGCTATAGTGTTTGTAATATCAACCTGTGATTATATGTAATTGTAGGCATCAAATGGACAATTCCTTGTACCTATAAATTGCATCTAACTACTTGAATCTACAGGACTAGATATAGATTTCTTACTTTGCTTGAAGTTTAAGGAATGAGTCGCTTGCATGATAGTTTGCTATTATTTATATTGTATTGATATGTTGATGGATTGATGTTTCTGAATTTATTTTGCATATAAATAAACACATGCGTTGCTCGGAAGGTTCCGTCAACTTCATTCTGGGCTTCGTGTTCTTGGATACTTCTTGTGATCGAACCTATGAATTTTATTAAAATCTTAGACTGATAATTTAAAATTTTTAATCTTAATGGATGAATTCCTGACATTTTTTTAAACAAAGTATATTTCTTTTAGAAGGGGAATCATATTTTTGTTTCACAAGACATTAATCAATTAATTTTTTGTTTCTAAAAACATTTTTATTAATTTTTTTATGTCCTGCTTCTAGACATGGGCTAAAAACGCAGCCCAAATAGTTCTAAGTATTTATCAGGCCCAAAACTACAAAAGTACTTTTAAAAGTGTTTTTATACAAATTAAAATAAAATTCATCTCACATATTTATTTTTTAGAGAAAATAGATTTGTCAGTCCTTGTAATTTCGTTGGATTTTGAATTAGATCCTTTTAGTTTTATTTTTTTTTATTGAATCCTTATACTTTGTTCTGTTAAAGCTATAGATCCTTCTTTCAATAAATTCTCAAAATACCGTTAGTTGGTTTCTCTCCCCCGTTAAAAGCAGGTGGCTCTTTATCGTCAGCCATAACCAGTTCGATGATGATGCCGAGAAGGAGACCTCTTTCTTCAAGTGGTCTGCTTTTTCATCAATATCAGCGTGTCGCTTCTATGTTGTGGACGTCGATACTAATCAATGAAGGTTATGTGCAATCCTGCACATTTGTCCAAGACTCTAGCCCAGCAGCTCCCATTAGACCCTTCTATCCAATCACCATGTATTATTTAATATCTTGTTTTGTTACTACCTCTGCACACTATTTTATGAAAGCCTTTTTTCTTAACAACGTTGTGGGAGTTTGATAGTTTCTTTCAAACTTTTGTTTTGAGACCCTTGCGTTATCCCATGAAAGAGCGTTAATTTTTTAGTTTCAAATGCTCATGACCTTTGGCAATATTAATTTATGATTTTAGATTGATCAATGCCAAAAAAGTAATAATAGTTATTAGAGTTTTAGGGATGAGGCTGTTTGAAGTGGCTAGAAATTAAGGATGATGACCACCTAGTCTGCAACACCCAAAGACCCCGTCATTTCCACGTACCTCTTTGCTCAAAGATCCTGCCTTCACGAGTTGGAACCCACTAGTAGGATCCTACACGTGTCAGCCCCACCTCCTCCCCTCTTCGGAGCAGGCTCATTGCTGGAGAAGCAGCATAGAAGAGGCATGCCAATATTGATGGAAAACAACCGGTTAAAGAAGGAGCTCTTCTCCTTCTGGGTGTCATCATTGAACTGGTCATGGATGATGAGAGAGAGAGAGCGATTAACGGTGTTTTGAGAAGTTATTAACGAAAGGACTTATGGCTTTAACGGAACAAAGTATAAGAATTCAATAAAAAGAAATAAAATTAGAGGGACCTAATTCAAAATCCAATGAAACTATAAGGATTGACAAATCTATTTTCCCTATTTTTTAATTATAAAATTATTTTTAAAATTATGGTTTTTTTTTTTTCCTAACACCTCATTAAACTCAAATTCTCCACTTCCACATCGCCTTCTGTCTTCCCCTTCACTATGGGAGTAAGCTTTGTATAATGAATCTTGGACAAACGAATCAGTCCATTTGGCCCAAATAACACTAGGCGCTTCCATCAAGATTTTTTTTTTTTTTAAACTTAAGTTTGTGAACTCAGATTTTTATTAAAAATATAACGGATACATGAGTTATGACCAAAAAAAAAAGTCCGTCTAAAGGGTAAATTTAGTATATATGCTAACTAGGAAGTTGTAAAAATGATTGATGATTTAAAAAGAACAAGAGGGAGATATCATATCACATCAAAAGGCAAAAACAAAAATGAATCACGTGAAGCCCAAGCTGTCACCTAAGTTTCACCACAACCAAACAAACTTACATCAAATAATTCACACCTCTCCCTATTTTCCATAGAACAACACGAAAATTCCACTAATTAAACTAAACAAACTTCAAACTAACTCTTCATCTTTTGCTTTCTCTATCTATCTTCCCCACAAAGAACCTAAAAGAGAGAGAATCTCTTGATGACATCTTGGTCTCTTTTTGTTTTCTTGTTTTTCCCAAACCTGGGTTTTGTTCAACAAGGTTTAAAATGATGATGAGTGGGGAAGACATTGTTGTGGTATTTTCTGGGTTTGTTGGCTGTCTTATGATGATTTCTGAGGAATCTGTTGGTCATCCATGTCCAAGAAAAGCAGCCAGCTTGTTGCTTCCTCCTGCTGCTACAAAGTTGATCCTCTTTTTGATCTCTCTGTGTTGTTGTCACTCTCTCTGTCTCTTCTGTTTCTTTCACTTTCTCTTCTTCCACCTGCATTTATTCAAATCATCATGGTCCATCCTAACATCATTTTCAATATTCTTCATCTCTTGAATTTGAATTTAACTCAAGAACAATTCTTCTAGTGTTTGAGTTTTCACTCGCACCCTATTTCAAAAATCATCCTCATTCATTGTTTGTTCCTTTTGACTTGTCAATTGTCTGACATTATCTATAGTACTAAGTAGTAGGTGAAAAAAAAGTCATTTTGGAGCCTGAAAATAAATCTACCGTTTAACTAGGCCTAATCTTTGTAAATATAGTATTTTAATCCACTTTTTCCTTAATAATTATCATTTTTCTAAAATTAAATTGACTTACATTATAAGTTGATACTCTTCCTGTCATTAATATAAGACCCATTTAACTAATTTGATTAGATTAAAGAAGTTAGGTAAGTTAGTTAATTATAAGAAATGTGACACGTTTTTCCTAAAACACCATAATCATCTTTCTTAATACCCCTTCTCCCTCTTCTACTTGATTATGGTCAATGGAATATCTATAGGGGTAATTTAGAGAAAATTGATAAACATACGAAATGAGTCTTATATTTAAGACCAAAACTAACTGAACAATTGGGTCCTATATTAAAGATCGGAGGAGTATATAATCAAATACTATATGAGGGTATTTTTAAAAGATCAGGTCAAATGTGTTTAATTAACAAATTAATCTCACTTTCTTGGTCTACCCAAATTAATTAAGCAACTCCTATAGTAAGAATCAAAGAAATTTAAAAAAAAAAAAAATACCATCCGGTATCTAATTCAAGTTGAGTTTAAGGAGGGTCTCAAGCATGTCTTCTGGATACACATAAACTTGAACCTAAGTCATCTCGTATGATTGAGTGAAACTTAATTCTTTTTATTAGGACCAACACAAATCAGCAAGGTTTATTAATTTTTACAATTTCGATATCTCTCTTTTATTCAATTAATTATTAATTAAAAGTGTTGATAAAGCTTACAAACAGTCACATGAGGAGTAAATTTTCTGCTCACATCAAAATCAACACTAGAGTATGGACCATAAGTCATAGTCGTATCCTTTTCAACTTTGGCATTTCCAGATTTAAACAGAATAACAAACAGGCCAATTCAATAAGATAGAAATCCTATAATTACTACTACTTCCGGTCCTTAATATAAGATCTTATTTGACTTTTATTTTAGTCCTAAATATAATATCCAAATCCACTTTGTCTTCCATATTTATGTTTTTTTTCCCTCCAAAGTAGTCACTCTAACAATAGTGGTTATAGCCAATACACTTGATCATTAAGGATATTTTAAGAAAGACAACACATATTTATTACAAATAACTAACTTAACTTCTTTTCTTAATCTTTTCAAATTAGTCAATATATTATATTGTTCACCAATCAGAAAAAAAAAACACATAATTTGCATATACCTAAAACGCAAATGGAAGGAAAACAAAAAAAAGGAATCTATCTATGCTAAATTACATTCACCTATATCCTAAACTATAAAACCTGCCCTCACACATTTCATCAATTTCAAAAATATTTCAGTGACACTCATATGTTAAAAACTTAGAAGAAGTGAATGGAACTTAATTATTATCCATCGGTCTAATCCAAAAGAGCCATATAATGTACACACACATATATCCCAAACTCCAATAAAGGCAGTATATGATACGCATGCGTGGATAAAGGCAGTAAAATGTTGAAGAAGATGTAATAATTGAGGAAGTTTTTAGGATATATTCCAAAAGAAGAAACAGTAGAACGACAGTGTATGGGCATTTTCAGTTGTCCTCTCAGTGCATACATACATGTGTGTACTTTCACCTAAGACAAAGGAGAGAAAGACCAAAGGAGGCCAAAAAAAAAAAAAAACTACAATTTATCTTTAACTATGCAAGTTATTATTATACTCTCTTCAAATTTTGCACAATTTCATTTTCATCAATCAATATGTACAGTTAAAAAAACTAGATAATCATAGTTTAGTAATGCTTGGCAAAAAAAAAAATCATAGCTTATGAATAGTAAAATTTTAAGGTTAAATTGTGTATCATGTATTCTAAAAATTGAAAAAATGTTGTAATGTATTGTACATATATAAATATTCTGTATTCCAACCAAGGTTATTACTCCTCTGGTCCTCTTTATAGAACAGAGAGCAGAGAGAAGATTTTTTTTTTATTTTTTTTATAAGTCATTTCATTAAATTTTTATCATGAATGTACTATTTATAGGACCATAGTGTAAGTAATTATTTCTTTTGAAAAGTGTATATATTAAGTAAAGGGAAAGTTGAAAAATTATTATATTTTAATATAAAATTAATACATTTTAAGGTTTTTCTTGTTTTGTGTAAAATATACTAAAAATCCCTTATAAATAAGACTAAAGGAGTATCTAGTAAGAAGCTAGATATCCTCAAAAAAGCCTTTAAGTATATAAAAGAAAAATCATGTTTGGACCACTTTCCTACTATTGAGACTGCACAATTATTATATCCCTTCAGCCTTTCACATAGATTTTAAGGAACGGCAGAAGTAATAATTATTCACACCATAATCAATTAGAGTTACACCAGTAATCATTAGAATAATATAATTCAATTAAAATATATAAAAATATTCAAATATAATAACAAAAAGAATAAAATTTAAACAAAAATATATTAATTCACAAGTAAAAAACGCTAGAAGCATAATGATAGTTTTTAAGGAACTGTAAATCAAATCCGTCATTAAACTGGTTAAAATAATGATTCAAACCATAATCAATTAGGAATTACACCACTAATAATTAAAATAATATAATTGAATTAAAATATGTAAAATATTCATATATAATAACAAAAAGAGTACTATTTAAATAAAAATACATTAATTCACAAGCAAATAAATAATTTATATATAAACCACACATAATCCTAAAAAACAGAGCTACTAAAACATAAACCTAATTAACTATTATTTGAAAAAGAAAACTCAAAATGTTCAGGCTTAATAATGTGAGGAAAACATAAAATCCAACTCAGCATCTCAGTTGACCAGTTTAAAACTCTTAATTAATTAGACTGGTCAAGGCATTAGTTCACTAATTCACTACTTTGACCGATTGACTTGGGTTATCTTTTAATACAATATACGAATTTTTAATACTCTTGTTAGTAATGATGACCATTTATGGTCATAATTCTAACAACCCTTTTCTTCTAATTTTGAATGGAGATATAATTGAAAACATTTATTAATTGTTATAAAAATAAGATATATATATATATATACACACACACAATTTTTATTTATAATTGAGACAGAAAGGAGTATAATTGAATAGATGATATGAACATTATAATTCAAAGAAAAAAAAAGTGGAGACAAGAAGGGCCATGTGCACATGCAAAGAGAGGGACCAATACAAATATGTCTCCAAGTACCACATTTTGGAAGGCAACAATCTCATTTATTGTCATCTAATTCATTTTGGATTCTCTCTTCTCTCTATCTCTCTCTTTCTCTCGGGAAATGCAAACACTACTTCCTGCTTCCTCTCTCTCTTTCTCTCTTCCTCTCTCCTTCGACATATCTCCCAAACAAGTTAATTTTTGTATTTTGCTTTTTTGGATTCTTCCTCACATATGGTTCAAATTCAAAACTTGCCCATTTCTCAGAAAATGTTTCGTTGCCTATCTATTTCTGCAATAATCATAATAATCCAAACCATCTTGCATTAATGGCAAAGACAGACATATCTTTCCTCTCTCAAACACATGAAATTTCGGTCATAAAGATTCGCCACTCGTGAGCCAATGAACAGTAAACTAGCTAACCAGCAATGAACTTCATGTTTCAGAATCTTCAGTACTATTTTATTACCTCTGCCAGGGTCAAACCCAAGAAAAACGAAAAAGCTCAGTAATTCAAACCCTACATACCTCGTCTTCCTCGGATTTGGTTGTTTTTGAATTTGAAACTGGCGATGATTCTCCTACTCGCTTGATTGATCTCTCTATAATCGAAGGTGTTGAAGCTGGACTCGGACTGCTTGAACTCAGATATGGCGGTGTACTCTGAGTTCCCACATCTCTTGTCCTTCCCTCCTTCTTCATCTCTGCACACACACACATATATATTATATAACAAGTGAATTATTGAAGAGTAATTTATAGAAGAGGGATTGAATGTGGAACTCAAAGGGTGTTATATATAGAATGATGAACCTGAAAGAATAGGGAATTGCATGGTGAAATCTTGGGTTGTGGAAGATGATAATGGAGGCTTTGATAATGGAAGGTGGGTGGAGGAAGAGAAAACAAGAGGAGCAGACATGGTGAATCTGTTGGAGGAGTTTCTGAAGGACCTTCCACTACTGATGAGAGATTTTGCAGATAAACATTCCAATGGAACTTTCCCGGAAAGTGGATTGCAGATATATTTCTCAGCTTCGTTCCACTTGGAATTCAAAGCCAATCCTTCTGGAGACGAACACTCCCAAGTATGATACACAGACCTTGCTTGCAATGCTGCAAATTATAATTAACTAATTACTTCAATTATTACTGGAAGAAGAATCATCATTGTTTTTGTTGTTGATGATTCCATTACCTTTGAGAGCAGTGGAGAAACAATAGGTGGAGGGGTCGATTTCATCTGGAAGACAGAAAATGAAGGAAAGTGAGGGGAAACGAAGAGATAGAAGAAAGAAAACGAACACACACACACACACACACCTTTGAAAGCGTATCCAGGAGAAGAAGCGGTGCTGGAGACGGTGAAGTTTGATCGGAAAGACCTGGAATCTTCTCTGAAGAACCTTCTGGACATGGTGTTATGGCGAGAGATGCGAGCCTTGTTGTTGCAGGCGGAGGAGTTCCATTCTGAGAGATTCAAGTCAGAATCGTCGTCTCGGAACCTTGAAGACTCCATTATTGGAGGAAGAAGAGGAGGAGGAGGAAGAAGAAGGCAATCAGAACAAAGAGAAAGTGAAAGTTGTGGTCTAAAGCAAGAGGAGAGGCATGCCTAGAGGAGCACTTCTCTGCAAAGTTGTTGTGTGTCTCTGCCAGTTTTCCTCTTTCGCTTTTCATGTCTTCCTTATATTCAATTTTATCAAATTAAAGTATAATCATCAAGTTATTAAGCTCTTCTATTATCATTGAGTAAGATATTAATATGTAATATAAAATTTAAAAAAATACCTAATATAAGAATTAATTCTAGGATTGGATTCCATCATAAATATAATACGTTAATCTTTTTTGCCTCTTTCATTTATTATTATTTTTCTAAATTAGCTCACCTGATGACTTATAAATTAATATATAATACGATATTATATAAGATTATTTTAGTAAAATCATGTCACATTTATTATAATTTACTTATTTATTTTACTTTCTTACCGTATCCAAATTAGTTAAGTAGTGTTTATATTAAAAATTATAAAGAGAATATTATTTACATGAGGCATAATGCATTTCATTTTAGCTCCTAAAAACACAAGTGATATTATTTGTCTAGAAAATGACCGAAATGATTTAATTAGGAGTTTAATTAAATTCGAATAATGTTGACACATAAAGGGGACCATCTAAATCTTTTCAAGATTCGACTGAGTTCGACTGTAAAAATTGTTTCAACTTTTTAAGCTCTTTCCTTTAAAATTTTCTAAAGCTTAAAGCATTCCATGTATAGGTTCCCCTTTAATTTTCCCAATATTTTCTACACTAACTTATTTATTTATTTACTTCAAAGAAACAGGAAGCGCTTAGATATAGACAGATATAGTGGGCCACTCAAACACACAGAGAATTTCCTCATATCGGTCTAAGGCCACTTCACTTTAAATGATAGAATCAATATATTCTTTTCATTGTTTTTAAAAAAATGTTTTGGCCAGTTTGTTTTTTTTCGGAGGCATGCAAAAACAAAACAAAAAAACTAATATTTGTTGTCATAAACAATGTGATATATATATATATATATGTTATAACCGGTCTTAAAGATAAGAACTAGTTTATTGTATAATTTAAACTATAAATTAATTCTTATATCTAGGACGGGAGATATTATTACAAAATTGTGGATAAGTTCTATCTCCTAACATCAGCCTATGCTTAATCCATAAGGTCAAAGGTCTAAGTTTTTGTTTGTCCAAAAGAAAAAGGGACTAATTTTTTATAATTGTGACTGCATGAGGAAGTGCCTTAAATATGTGAACATGTGCAAATAATAATGAAGCGTATAATTGCTACTCCTCAGGTCTTCCCTGCGAGGCAGGAAAAGAAGATTTTTTTAATTTTATCTGTAAATCACATTATTAAATTTTTTTATATGAATGTACAATCTAGATTTTGTTTTCATGAAGTATAGTGTATATTAGATATGAGAAGAGTTGAAAAATTATTAAATTTTAAGGCAGAGTTAATAAAGTTTAAGGTTTTTAATTTATTGATTCCAGTTAAAACATGTTGGGAGTGACTTGTAAATAAAAATAGATGAGCTTATTTATAAATTATTTCTAACATGTTTTATTAAAAACTAAGAAAAATTTTAAATCTCATTAATTTTATCTTAAAATTTAGCACCTTTTCAACTTTATCCCTATTTAATATATATATTTTTCAAGAAAATAGTAATATATAAAATAATAGATCAAAATAAAATAATACATTCATATTAAAAATTTAATAATACGACTTATAAATTAAAAAAAAAAAACTTACCTTTTTAACTTACAAATAGAATCAAAGGAATTCACAGGAATCAAAACGGGCAGGGGATAGTGTTAAGGGAAATTTAGTTAAAAGTCCCCTCTTTCACAAAGTAATTAGGAAATGGGACCTGCAATAAATACAAAGGTATGGGTATGAATCTCTCAAATATCAATAAGTGTAGTAGGAAAAATACTATATTACCTTGATGGATGCTAATTGCATATGATTGATTCTAATTGTATATGATGGATACCTAATTATATATGAGATCTTATTGCATATTATGGATCCTAATTACAGATTATTGATCCAAAGTTACATATTGTTAATTCTAATTACATATTGTAAATACCTAGTTACATATGGTATCTTATTGCATATAATTGATCTAAAGTTGCATAGTGGTGATTCTAATTGCATATATAAATACTTAGTTGCATATAAGACCTTATTGCATATCACAAATCATAATTGCATATTGTTGATCTAAAGTTGTATATGCCTAATTCTAACTGCATATTGCAGATGCTTAGTTGCATATGAGACCTTATTGCATATCACGGATTCTAATTGTACATCATTGATCCAAATTTGCATACTGCTGATTCTAATTGCATATATGTTACTATTTAGATAAACAAATTCTTTTACATAGTACTCCTAAACAAATTCTTATCTACGAATGCTAATTGCCAATGACGGATTCCACTTCCATCATGTTAATTTGTAGATAAGAATTTGTTTGTGAGTACCACGCAAAAGAATTTCTTTATGTAAATTTGGATCAATGATATGCAATGTGAATCACCAATATGCAACTTTGTATCAATTATACATAATTAGGATATGTAATATACAATAACATATCATATGCAACTAGATAGCAAGTTTGAATCAACGATATGTAATTAGGATCCGTAATAAATAATAAGATCTCATATGCAACTAAGTATCCACCATATACACTTAGGAACCGTGATATACAAATGAGGATTCGTCATATGCAATTAGCATCCATTAGGATAATATGATCTTTTTCCTATCACATATTGATATTTGAGGGGCTCATACCTTTATATTTATTATAGGTCCCATTTTCTAGTTAATTTTCAAAGAGGGACTTTCAACCAATTTTTCCTAATGTTAATTCATTTAATGTGTATGTACAGTATATATATAAATAAAATGAAATGGGGGAAGAGAGAAAAGGTGGGGGGTATGGCTCGACATTGATAGTTCACCCTTTTTTCGGAAGTCTTACTTCTAAAAAAGGCAACATTAGACTTTATTTATACCTTTTCTTCAAACATATTTTACACTAATTAAATCCAATAATCTAAGGAATGAGTGAAACTATTTGCAACTCATGAATAATGCTTTAATAAATTACCTATATATATTGATATATTTATTTTCATATGTTCAAAATTACAAATCCACATTCTTAACCTGTCAAAAAGAAGTGAATGATGCTGATATTTTAAAAAGTAAAGAAGTAAATAGACGTAAACAAATAATATTACAAATATTTGTGGTAATATTAGAGAGAGAGAAAGAGAGAGGGGTTTGACGTTGATATCTCGTTCTTTTTTGTAGCGTTGCTTCTAAAAAGGGTAGCAATAGACTTTATTTTTGCCTCTCGATCAAGCATGTTTGCAACTTTACACCAACTTCTATATTAATTTCTGGTTTTATGTTTTTAATAATAATATGAACTTTCTTAAGTAAATTCTTTTTATCGAATATACATATTTAGAATACAAAAGAAAACTGAAATATATAAATATTATAAAATTAAACTTGTGATTGTGACAACAGCATTTCTCCATCTGAAAAAGCTCATGAGATATCAATGAAGTTTTTAAACTGATTTTATCCCTGTGTGTGGGTAACATAAAATATAATTCACAGCAAAACATGAGCTAAAACCTTTCAAATGAAAAAGCAAAAGAGGGAGAATTACACCAAAATTTTAAGAAAAGAAAATAATTATTAAAAAGTATTAATAACAAGTGAAAAGTTGTCAATAGACTGATAGTTATAAGTTTCAAGACTAGACCACATTTACCATTTCTTGCTCAAACGTTTATACCCAAAAAAATAAAGGAGTTTCTTGCTGAAATGGTGTCATGGACGTTGCTTCACCTAGTTTTTCAGTTATAACAGTTACTCTCTCGTGTCTCTCTCCTTTAAAACCTCATTAATGTGAATAAAGTTAAAAAATTTATTAATTTAAGATAGATTTAATGAATTAACTGTAATTTTTTGACACGTGTGTGAATTAATTGAAAATGCCCTATGATAAGAATAGGAGGGAGCACAACAACAAATCTCCTACAATATTGCCAATTAACTGAAAAAATATATATTCACCAGAATATTGAAGTTTTTTTTTTTTTTGGGCCTGACATATATTGAAGTTGAGATAGCACAAAATTAAAACAAAGTTTTTAGATTACCAAAATAAAATGAATGTCTGGAACTAAATTGATAGAGAGATGAAAAGAGTGTTTTCTTAGTAACACATTTCTTTATAGACATCTCAGATTTGCAAGTGACACATTTTATTTGGCCAAAGATGCAAATTTTGTTTAAAATATTTAATCAAAATTTAAAAGGATAATGAAACTTTTTAATAATTTGATTCTTGAAGTTAAAAATTAAACTTTAGGGAGTTAAAAGGATAGTGCAGTCATTTCATCTTACACTAGACCTCATAGGGGCGTATAGAGTTGCTAAAAGCAAAAACACCAAGCAACGCCTGTGGAGACTGTGTTAAGTGGTCAAAATTGATTAACTTAATACTTGTGGCATTTTTGCATGGTTTTGTAAGCTAAATATCTATTGTTGCACCTTTTTTTAATATGTTTGTTAAATGGTCAATATTAATTGACTAACCGTGACATTTCTGTATTATTTTAAAAACTTCGAATACCTCTACACTCAAGAAAATTTCATGGTGTTCTACATCCATGGCAAAGCTAGAATATTTCACTAGTAAATTTACACCTTAATCATATTGTGCGACATTTTATTATTTTTATATCATATAAATTTAATAATAATGGTGGTAGTAATGTACAATTCATTATCCACATATCAAGCAGATTAAGACCTATTTATAATAACTTATAAGCAGCTTTTTATTATAATTTATAGAATACGAGATAAATATATGAAAGAAGTTTTATTTTAACTTGTATAAAATGTGTTTATAAGTATCTATAAATATGATTCCAACGAGGGCCTAAAATCTGTCTCTTGCGTGGGTAGTTTGAAGAATCTTAAATGGGAAGGTGGAAGTGGAAGTCACATGTTTGTGGGAATGTG